TTTACGTACTGTTCTATAAAGTGCAATAACTCTGTACTATGACATTTAAGCGATACTGAGACACTGCCTAATATTAATTGTTAGTCGACTGATAATTGGTTAAAAAAGGCACTCAACACTAAAAAAAAATGTCACAACCACAATAAGTTAAACTAAGTTGATTGTATCGTAATTATGTAAATTAATTTTCTGCACTTTATCTCTTTTTAAACAAAATATAAACCGGAGCGCAGTGTTCGTGCGACCGCGCGCGCTTAAATTTCATATTGAAGGAGCAGGAGGAGGAGGGAAGCATTAATTTCAAATAACTTATATAATTTAAGGATAAACCTTTCCGTCATACAAAAGTAACTTAAAACTAATTAGAAGTAATTACTCTGCATTACCTTCGCGTGTTTTAATATTGTGCAATGCTAATTCTAACTTATTTTATTTCAAGTTTATTTAAGTTAGATAGTGAATCAAAGAAATATAAACAAATAGCTTTCGTAAGCGACTTCCACCGCGCAGAATTTAAAAAAAAAACTTAATAAGTTGACTCACATAGTCAACTTATTAAGTTTTCTTCCAGATTATGCTCTACATGTGCCAAATTTCACAAAGATTGAGTCGTTTCGGAGATGCCTTTTAACAAACATCCATCCATCCATATATGTAAACTTTCGCATTTATAATATTAGTTTTTACTTCTTACATGCATAAAAACATAGACAAACGTAAGCCTAAAAAAGAAAAGCGCACTATTTGCTATGTATTACGCGCGCAAGTTTTACCCCACTTTTAATTTGCAAAAAAATGTTGATATTCGTAACCTTTTTGCAGGAAACAAATTACTTTTATGTTTCTCGATTAAACGTAACTGGAAGAGGTTAGTGGCGCCCCCAGCTCTCGGCCCGGAGACACGCCTTAAACGCCTTAAAGGGTTCAACGGATTACGGTAAATATTCATATCAAACAATAGGATAAATTCATCAAAAATAAACTACAATTCGAACATATCACTATTTTTATGCTTTGTATATTTTAATTAACATTTGCTTTATGATTTATATTTTTTTATTTGCAGGACTCTGTCAATAATAATAGTCATCATGGAACATTCTTTGCTACCATTTGTAGTAAGTTCTGAAAATCCCCATAATTTTGAAAAAGTGAGTACACACATTTTTATAATACTTTTAAAGAAATATATAAATAACTTATAATATAAGTATAAGCGATGAAAAAGAACAAGTAACCTTGTGCAGAAGACTAGCAGTCGTCTGCGAAAATAGTCGCGCGGATACTCTGTTAGTGGAAATAAATTCTTATGACGCTAGTATTCCACTACAGACATTTTCCTTTTCTCTTCATTTTTATATAATGAAAACTAAAAATATCTTATTACTTATCAATATCTTAAATGTTAATTCCGTATAGTAACAGGTATGTCGAAATCCACAGTATAAAATTGAATCGTTTTTTTTTATGTTTTCAGAAATATTACAATATAATCTGTCACTTGTTCATCGATGGAGCGCTTGTAGTACAGACATTCTTCGTAATGTCAGGATGTCTTTTAGCCTATAATTTAAACCTGTTAGCAGAGAAGAAAACAATATCCTGGACCATGATACCAAAAGGTATCATCTTGAGATGGCTAAGGTAAGTTTTAACGGTGAATTAACACTTTCAAACTTGTATAAAAACTATACTGCTATCCCTCTTACTCTCTTTGAAATAAACACAGATAGCTGTAATGTTTTTATTCAGTCGTTGCGACAGTTGAAATTCAGTATTATTTTTAACTTGATGTCTATTGTTTCTAAAGCATCTTAAACTATCTTACTTATGTTTTAAATGTGAATGTTTGGATGGATGCACGTTTGTTTGAAGATATTACCAAAACGGCTGAACAGATCTCGATAAAATTTGGCAGACATATAGAACATATACTGGAAGAACGAAAAGGCTACTACTATTACTACTAATTTTGTTTTTTTTTTAATTCCGCGATTACGGAGTCGCGGGCGACCGCTAGTTGTATTTATAATTAGTATAATATTAATTTTTCTCGCTATTTCTAGTCTTTAAATTTAATTTGTCTTCCTATGTTTATGCAGAATAAATTCATTGCCAAATATCGCAAGACTGATAAGTTTAGCTTTATTGCAGATTGACGCCAACGTACGCTCTAGTTCTTGCTGTAACCACGACATGGTTGAGATTTGCTGGATCTGGGCCATTGTGGCAGGTAAGATTATTCTAGCATGCATTTTTTTTCTGTCTTAATAAATATGACTGAAATTATCTCTCTAGTAACAATTCTAAACAAACGTTAATTTGTATGTTATTCATCGGCATTCGTGTTTTACAGAGCACAGTTGGCGTCGAAGTGAAGGACTGCCGGCGCGACGGCTGGCTCAACCTGATCTACCTCAACAATTACATCGACGAATCACAGTGCATGCCTCAGACATGGTAATTATAAAGATAATGATTTGTTTTACTTAACACAAGTTTACTCCTTGATCGTCTGTATAAGGGCCGCCTTGAGTGCTGAAAGCATCATCTAGACTCTTCCATTTCTTCTTGGCTGGTGTCAGTCTGTCGATGTCAATTTGTATCAATTCTTTAATCAGATTTTTCGAGTTTAGTCTTTCATTCTTTTTTAAGTGTCAAAGAGGTTAACAGTGGTAGAGCCGGCTTTAACATCATCGCACGAATTGGCTTGGCTCGCCCGGTGAAATACCACGACCACACAGAAGACAGGCGTGAAGTGGAAGCTATTCCGCGTTCCGTCTGATGAGTGTGCGTCCCGGAGGACTTATTTAGTCCTCTTTCCCTTTCCAACTTTTTCTTATAAGGAAAGGATGGGAAGTGGATCTTTCGGATGAGAGGATGCATGGGAAGGGAAAATATTTACTTTCTGTGCATCCTCTCCTCCGTCGATTAAAGGTAGGCAACGCATATGCAATTGCGCATCTCTATGGGCAACGGTCACTTCGCTATTCCAGCGATTTCAGGTGGCCGCTCGTTCGTTTGCTACCATGATATAAAAAAAAAGTCGGGCAAATTGGATTTTTTAAATCATGTGTTTTTTTGCATTCAAATTAATTATTAATATTTTATTTATGTACACACGTGTGTCGTTAATTATAAATGTTTTAATTTTATAGTTTTATTTAATAGACTAATGGAAATATCATTGAAATTTTTATGATGCGCATTTGAATAATCGATTAATGATCCGCAAATAAAACTTATTTGACGATATCAATATCACAAATCAAACAAAACAAATCACAAAATAACATCGAGGTCGACATAATATAAGGCTTTTTTATGCTATAAATTATGATTTTTTTTTCGTACTAACTGATATTTTAGATATATAGGAAACTTCGAGACTACTTGGAATATAACTGAGCTTGAAATACTACAATCTTTATATATATTATATGTAGTATAATTATAAAGCAATGATGCGAAGTATTATATTCTTACTTTTTAAGTTTTTTGTTTTTATTTTTAAATTTTCTTCGTGGTCAAAGCGTTATATAAGAAACTGCTTTAAAATAACGCTGATAAAATTTGCTACACAACATTTTTTATTTCATTATTCTAGCTTTAATACTTTAATAGAAATTATAGATTTAAAAGTGTGTTATTTTTGACGTTAAATATAATTTTTATTTAATTTACAGGTATATTGCAGCAGACATGCAGCTGTACGTGGTTGGACTTATAATCTTCTCCCTCGTGACTACCGCGGTCGCCAGACGCGTGGTCCTCATCGTATTGTTTGTGGTCAGCCTAATCATCCCTGCCTGTCACACGTACTTACAGAACTTGGACGCTGGGTTGATCATCTCCCCAGAGTAAGTGTATATCAACATAGTTCTTAAAACTGTTGGGAAGAAAATCCGAAAATGTGCCAGTTTATTCAGCGCGGCATTCGGTCTAAATTATTCTAACCAGTTATGTCTAAATACATGTATTTTTAGACATTATTAGTTTGAATCCTTTGACGCGAATGACGTGCTTTCGCTAAAAAATCCAGTGTCAGAATGAATAGTGAGTATTGCGCAGATACACCGGCACAATATCGGATTTTCTTTCTAACAATATGTAAATCGAAGACATCGAAACGATATGCTCTTCAACTACTGTTTAAAGGAAATCATCTAGTTATGAATATGTAAAAACGTTACCATTAATACCACGACCACACATGAGACAGGCGGGAAGTTGAAGCAATTCTGCGTTTTGTCTGATGCGCGTCAGAGTCCCAAATTTACTCCAAGTTCCCTTACCATTCTCTTCTTATAAGAAACTATTAAGAACGGGAAGTGGATTTGGCGTAGGGACGCATATGGAAATATTCTCTTTCTGTATGTCCATGAATTTCTGCGAACTGTCATATCCTAGTTCAATCCCTTCTTATACATATCATTTTTCACACCATTCCTTACTTTGTTCTATATTTCTCTACTCTTATCTCTCAGATAACTTATGAATATATTACTTATACAGGTTAGTTCGTGATTATTTTGTGAAGGATCCAACATTCAATAATACATACAAAAGAGGACATACTAACTTGGCCAGTTACATAATGGGACTCGGACTAGGAATGTTGATTTATCACTTGCAGAAGAAAGACTTCAATATTGAGAGATTTAAGGTAAATTAAAACGTTCCTTTAATTTATTTCATAAGCGCCAATAGCCTAGTTAAGATTACATCAGATTACATGCTCGTGGATTCGAATCCCGTATTAGTACAAAAAATTTCCTATGGTACACACAAATGACTTTTTTAGGTCTCCTTTTTAAAGGAAATTTATTAATATATATTTTCTATAAGTAATTGTTGACTACAATTTTATACCTTTGGATTTCAGAAATACAGATGTATTTACTGGGCAATAGCTCCATCTATGCTTATCGTTTTGCCTTCGGGATCTTTCTTTTATTTCTACGAAACTGAAGCTCCTATTATTTTGAAAGCAATATTTTCGGGAATCGCTAAGCCTGTATTCTCATCCATTATATGTGTCATTGTTCTGGGAATGGCCTTTAAATTTGAAGGTAAGTAAACATTTTGTTAACCATACTAGAATAGACTAGATATTATGTTCATTGAAAGATTAAATTACAACACCTAAAAATAAAAAAAGCCTTGTAATTATTTAAGATAAGTTAGAAACGGAAAATAAAACGGAGTCAACTTTTAAACTCAAATAACTTTTGCATTAAATAATCAAACCTTTGTTCTACGGTTAATCTATCAAACTGTATAAATAATGTTCATTGGTTTCAGATGTGTACAGAGGCATATTAGAATGGAACGGCTGGGCGTCACCCGCTAGAGTCTCCTACTGCGCGTACATTCTGCATGTACTCTTCGTCAGGACTTTGACAGGCTCACGGACAACTTTGATGCACGTCTCTATAGCCCATGTTGTAAGTATTAGTTTACTTTTTGCAAGCAACAATAACGAGAAAAACTGCCTTTTGTTCTCTATGATAGATGTTAGGCATCATAAAATAATTTATAAAATTTCCAACTACTTAGGAGGTCTTTTTACTTCCTGAGCAGCGAATAAGGAATGATTAATTTTCATTAAAAAAATCACGAGAATTACGAATAAAAACTTTGACAGACTACATAAATCAAATATTTTATTACTTATTATTTAATAAAATATAATTTAATTTCAGCTTTTAGTATGCATGGGAACTGTTATGATCTCGTATTTGGTTTCCTATCCGTTCTGGTTACTGGTTGAAGCACCATCGATAGCTTTATCCAAAATAATATTACCGGGAGCCAAAGTGGAAAAGGATATCGAAAATGATCCTACTAAGAGAGAAAGAAATCACGCTTAGGCCTGCCGTACAAGGTCAGACAGTCGACAGTGGTCGAGTAGTCACCATGCTGTAAGCGACGTTTTTGGGACGACTGCAAACTGCGTTCGTTTATGGCATACGTCAATTGCTGCAGATGCTTGAAGCTGTTCGTGTACGTCAGTATTTATTAATTTCGGAATAGAAGTTCTAGCTGAAATGTATAGTTTTTAAAATGTTTTGTACAAATAGATATAAGCTAGAAAAAATATAAATTTAAGTAATAAATATATTATGTATAATAATAAAATATTTATCTATATTACATTAAATAGCTTTAGAATATAGGTTTATATTTAAATTATGAATAAAACGAATTCATAATTCTCTGTAAATAATGGAGATATAACTTTTTATAAAAGTTTTTTGATAATTAATTATTCTATTAGGTACTAAATAATAGTACACTAGTCCTAGTTATGTACATAACTTTGTTATATTGCCAATGTTAATATTAAAAATATTTTATATAAAATATATTTTTTTTAAATTATAATAAGTCTTAACCAATCTTAAATTATAAATGCGAAAGTTTAGATATATGAAAGGATGGATGTTTGTTAGAAGGTATCTTCAGAACGGCTGCATGGATTTTGCTGAAATTTGGTATAGATGTAGAACATAGTATAGTAGAACATATAAGCTACCAAGTTTGTTTTTTATTCCGTAAGGATAGAGTCACGAGCAACAGCCAGCAACATATGATGATGTTAAACAAGAAAAACCATTTCATCTACATTTTTATATTTTTATATTCATAAAAAAAATTCATGTTATAACTTGGACATGGACATCAATATTATCATTTTTCTTTGCTTCGTTACTCTGTTTGTCACTTTTCTTATTAGGGGTTTCCATCCATAGCTTGACCAATTGATTTACAGGCGATTCGATTAGTAACCAAATTATTGTACCGACTACAAATGATATAAACGCCATACCGATTACTGGCACCTGAGAAAAAATAAAAGAATTTTTGAACTTGGAACATACTTTTAATGGACATTATTAATTAGAATCTTTTGGCGCCAATAGTGCGTTCGTTACAAAGTCAAGTGTCAGAATGAATAGTGAGGGGACATAAACATCAACATTTTAGTAAAGCTAGTGTTGTGCCAGTACACCGGCACATTGTCGGATTTTTCTGCCTAACACTATAGAAGATATAACATACAGTCGTATTTACTAGCGAAACTACATTTAATATTTTTTTAAGAAGAAAATATTAGCAGATTTTTTTGTTAATATACTAATATTTCTTTTACCATTCCAACTAAGCTCTAAGCTTGTGCTAGGATATGGTTTACGACAATAGTCGAATGGCAGGATTCGAACGTCCGACCTCGTGATTGGATATCCGTACCATTAACCATTAGGCTATTGACGCTTAAAAATAAACTTAAAGAGAGCTAATTTGTAGCTAGTTTTGTTAAACAATAGTTTAGATGAATTTGATTTCCAAAAAAAACTTAAATGCATAATGTTTTAAACTTTGCAAAATCAAACCATTATTGAAGTATTCGTTATTCAAACTACAATCATCTGATCTTACTTACGATTGTTAATATTGATAGAGTAAACAATTTCGTTGAGCTGCCTAAAATTATTCGTATAAAGGTCAAATGTATCAAATATGTTCCGTAAGAAACTCGGGATATCCAAGCCCAGCCTTCCCACTCCAAAAGTCCGCGATAAAAATCTGAAAAATGCATTTAAAATACTTTACAATATAAACCAAGGAATCTTTGCATCTTTTTATACTTTTACACACGGCACTCGTATCTTGACAGCTGATATTTTTTTTGCATAAAATACTACATGCTACATATCGTTCTATGAAATAAGTGACCATGGCATCTTAGGATTTAGTAATTAAAAATATTTTCAATGTAAAAATTAATTTTTACTTACTATCAAATTTAAACACCATACCAAGAATGAGGATGCCAATTAACGCCCCCATCACAGGCCTTAAAAATGTATGGAATATCACTCGAATGTACAATGGATATGGCGGACCATCCATGTAGTTGATACTGTTAAGAAGAAGTATTCCCACACAGCAAGGAATTGTAGCCCAGTAAATGGGTAAGAACTTCTGAAAATTTATTTCTATTTTTTATATTATAATATGGCAAATGACCAAGTAGCCACCTGAATTCGCCTAACGAAGAGTGTTCATTACCCATCATCATCAGATACGTCCCCACCGAGGAGTTCGGAGCCTACCGTAAGTTAAGTGTCTTCCATTACCCACAGACATCCGCAATTACGCAAGCATTGCCTACACTTAATTGACGGAGGAGGAGATGCACAGAAAGGGAACATTTCCCCTTCAAATAACTATCTCATAAGTGACTAACATATTACTATCATAATAACTAAATAATAGTGGACAGACAAACATAAACCAATTTTATTAAGAGTTAAATTAAAACCATCAGAAATGACGAAGTTTGAAAACATATTAATTTGGTTACCTTATATATTTCCAGGTTGAATTCTCTTTTCTGCAAATTATAGATAAGAATGCCAAGCGCCAATCCCATAACGAAAGAAGGAATATTGGTGTGACTTGGCGTGTATAGGTAATTGTAAGCTGGGTCTTCTATAAAAAGTCGCATTAACGACCTAAAAAAGTTAAAAATATAGTTGGGCATCTGACAAACTCACAGCAGCAGACGGCGGTTAGATCATTGTAGGAAAACGGCGTATAATGTCCTGATACATGTCACTTTTACAGTTTTAAAACTCAAGCTGGTAAATGTAAGATTACATAAAATATCATAAGCAAAATCATTTTTTTTAAATTTATATGCATATCTTCATGCCAATGTAAACCTTTGCTAATTTTTCATCTGTCGATCTTAAATTACTTCTTACTAATATTATAAATGCGAATGTTTGGATGGATGGATGGGTTGATGTTTGTTTGAAGGTATATCCAGATCGGTTGAACGGCTCCTACTGAAATTTGGCATACATGTAGAACATAGTCTGGAAGAACACATAGGCCACTAATTAAGTTTTTTCTAATTCCGCATGGACGGAATCGCGGGCTATAGCTAGTATATAATAAACACTTACCGCGGTGAGACCGCCATCAAAAATGTTAAATCATAAAAGTATGTCACCAGTCCTGTCAAAGCAACTCCAATAATGAACAATATCGCCAATACCAAATTCCTCCAATTTGTGTTTCTTATTAACACGAATATCATCATACCTATAGCGTACAAGTGCAAGTCGGCAGCTAAATACCTGGTAGTAATTAAAATATAAATAAACTATGAAACTTTGGCAAAAGAATAAGAATCATCTTTTAGTTCAAATTCGTTTAAAATCCACGCAAAAAACCTGAACCGGTGATTTAAAAGTGTGGACGCGACCATTCTAAAACATCTGTGTAAAATATATTGCCATCCTTTACAATTTCTTTGAATTAAAGAGAGATAGCACGTTTTATATCAATGTTTCGACAGTATAAACTTACGGATAAGTTGTGTACTTTTATATCAAAATCTATGCTCACCACGTTTGATTCATGCATTGAGAATCATATTTGTAGTTTCGTAAATAGAAAAAATTCCACATCCAAGAGCTACGACAATCCTCTATTTCTGTTACTTCTAGCAACTGAAAAATACATCGATTTTTCGATTAGTACAAATTAGTTTGGCGGTGAAATAGAAAAGTCTTTGATGGTCAATACAAGTTGAGTCTCTAGCCGTTCTTCGTTCCTAAAAACCCGTTTTTCCAAAAGTTCTCTTCCATCCCCAATTATTATGAATAGTTAAATTGGAATTCAGTATCAGCAGTCCAGGTTCTTGAGTAGTTATGCTATATGCTTTGCTATTATTAGCTCGTCAATATAATATTCTTACCTGTACTAAAGGACCCGATGATATGAAACGTAATAACGTCGAAGTAAATGCAAGAATAACAGCGAAGGAAGGTGTCAATCTGAAAGAGAGACATTAGTATAACTATGAATGAAATTATTACAGTAACTTAGTTAAACATGCTAAATTCGATACTACTAAAGAAATATTAAGAATTGTTTTACCAAATTATCAAGAGTTAAGTGTGCCAAATTTAGTATATACCAAAGTTTATACAGGGATGTGATGTTAAGTACACAAAAACTTGAACTTTATTTAAATTAAGTTTATTAGGTAATTTAATTTAGTTGTTAATATAATGATTAAACTCTTATTGAAATATAGAGTTATGTGAGTATCTGTTACTTTTTTTTGGTTGTCATTTGAGCGTCGGTGGCTCAGAGGTCAAGCACTTGACTAGCAATCTGCAGGTCCTGGGTTCGAATCCCGCCATGTATCAATGTGTATTTCTGATTTACGTATGTACATTTATCCGACGTTCTTACGGTGAAGGAAAACATCGTGATGCAACCTGCACATATGTGTGAAGTCAACCAACCCGCACTTGGCCAGCGTGGTTGACTACGGCCTAATCACCCTTAACTTAGGGTAGGCTCCGGGCTCCTCAGTGGGGACGTATAGTGAGCTGATGATGATGATTTGACGAGGATGCAAATTGAAATGAATCCTTTACCTCAACCATCTAGTCCAAATATTGCTGATTAACATTGTCCAGTTGATTGTTTTCTTGTCTGCTGTTTTTTGTAAGCTATAGCTTAAAAGAATTCCTGACATCAGAAAGAAGGCCTGTACTATAACTGCACCGTTTATAAACACGTGGTATGGAAGAAAGTAATATACCTAAAAAGATTTTTTATTTTTATATCATAAGGTGGCAAAGGAGCGAGCTGCCACCTGAAATCGTTGAAATAGCGAAGTGACCGTTGCCCATAGACATACGCAATTGCATATGCGTTGCCTTTTTTTTCCCTTCCCATGCATCCTGTTATCCGGAAAGTCCACTTCCCATACTTTCCTTATAAGAAAAAGGGTGGGAAGGGAAAGAGGACTAAATTAGGCCTCCGGGAAGTACACACTTCAGACGAAACGCGGAATTGCTACCACTTGACGCCTGTCTTCTGTGTGGTCGTGGTATTTCACCGGGCGAGCTGGGCCAATTTGTGCGAAGATGTTATAGCGGGCTCTACCACTGTTGTGAAAATACCATCTTTAAAATTTTCTTGTATTTAATAAAATGGCGACTAGTGGGAGCGTATGATGATGAATTATAAAGTTGAGGATCCGAGATTGGAGAAGAAATGTTCATAAAAACGAGACAAAGCTGCCCTAGGGCAGGGATAATGAACCAATGGCACACGGTGTGAACTAAGTGTTGTATGACAAATGATCCCTGCGCCACGGAATGTTCCCAATAATCGCAGTCATAATTGTATGATAGCAGTTCTTCGACCTCATAAAATAGTTTATAAATATGGCACATTGATTCGTAAAGGTTTACCATCCCTGACATATATTCCTTATCATTTGCCTTTGAATGATGATTCGAGGTAGTTTTTTTCGTATATAAATATTTCTAATTAATATAATTAAGATATTTTACCTGTTCAACAAAATGTGGATTAGATATGGCCATTGCGTAAGGAATAAATGAATGTCCTGTCACAAGAAGTATCATAAGTATAGCTCTGAAATTTAAATAAAAACATTACACACATTTTTAAAATTATTATTTTTTTTTATAAAAGAAATATTAAAGTTAATTTATTTATTGTTATTCGGATTTATAAGGAAGTGGAACATATCTTAAAGGAACATATAAAAATAAAAAAGAACAATGTTTCACGATTAAAAAGATGCGACATCATAATAGAAATTAAATAACAGCAAATAGATATAAAATATTATCTTGTCATTCGGTAATTACATTACATAGTTTTGGAATTTTGTATTTATCATCTGAACAGAATTAAAAGTTAATGCAGCTATATGAATAAATAAAAATAAAAACTATCTCTTTTTCGTAATATTTTACGGGAGATATTTGTTTGTACAAGCAATTTTACATAGTTATATAGATTTCAATTGTCAAAAATTCAAAGAAAACCAGTCATCTAATTTTTTTTATCATGATATTCCAGAGATCGTTTACTTATCTACATATTTAGAAAACGTTTCCAAGTGAAAAATTTCCGCGATATTATTTTGCTTACCTTATACCGTCCAAGCCTTTAAGCCTATCTATAGGTGGCCTTGACCTGTAGTCTGGTTGAAACAATCTAGGCCAGTTGCGTAGTAACGAAAACGCTAAGATCATCTCCACGGCTATGAGAAAGATTAAACCTTAACTTTCTTATTTACAATATTATACCTGGTTTACATTAAGCCAGTACAGCAGGATGGAAACAATAAAAATTAAAAATCAGCGCTGGCATGCTACTGGCATAACGTAAACGATAAGCGGCGCCAGTGAGCCCATTCAGACCATGCCGAGCCAGCGCTAGTGTCCTACAGTACTGGCATAATGTAAACACGGAATTACATTCTTTTTATTCCTTTATTTTCAATTCTAACTCCCGTCTAATTTTATAGTTTTTTTATTTTATATTGATGTCTTCTCAGTGGCCAATATGTCGTATGCATCTAGGTTAGAAAACCTTGAATTATTGTTATAACATATTTTACTGTTTTAGATAAAAATAATATTAAAATAAATAAACGTTCTTATATGTTTTACAATTTAGCGCCATCTATGGGTCGATTATTGATTTATCAAGAGTGTTGATATATTCGACCTTTTTGATAGACGAGGAATTGGCATACTGCCAAAAAGGTCGAATACTGGCCACTAAGAACTATTGCACTTTTATTTCATTAAAAAACAAAAGAAAAAAAGGGACAATCGCGCGTAAATTGAAAAGAATTAACAACCTAAATATAGTTTTAGTTAATTAATATTGTAAAAATACCTATATAGAATTATTCACTGCGTTTTTAAAACGAAATAATTGCATTATTAGCAGCACAGCTTCAATTAGAAATGATTACAAAGGTTTTAGTTATACTTATATCATATTTCGCAATATTTCTAAAAACTTATTTTTTTCAACTTAAATGTACGTAAACTTTTTTATATTAGTATTTTCGCGCCTAAATGAATCTTTTCAAAAACTTCTCTGGTTCGGACGGTGAAGGTCAATGACTCCCAGTCGCGGAACCAATTTGTGGATTTAGATTAGTGTGAACGGTGAATTAATTCAATACGTGATTACAAATTAATGATGTAACTTTAACAATTAAAAAATAGTGTTAACGTTATAAGTGCAATATAGTTTTTAACTTTTTGATATCGAATTTGACCTTGACTTATTGACTAAAAGTGTGTGAATTGAACAGAACCCGAAAGCAGTGAACGAGGCATCGAGTTGGTAAGTCATCTTCTTTATATTCTTAAGTCACTTGTAGTAGTTTTAGTCACATTTGTGATCGGAGTTTATTTGCAATACGGCCTAATTATGAATTATGTAATTATTATACGAATTTTACGAAACATTGTAATTTATTTTATAAGCCCAATGAGTTATTCATTATTACGGAAATAATAATTACTATTCTTATACCCGTTATAAAATAAGCTTGTAAAAATCTTACATTGTGTATGCAGAATAAACAAAAAATAATTTTTAAGAAATCAATTCAAAAGTTTACAAAAAATATTTGGTAAACTGCATAAATTAAAAAAAATTAAATTGCTTTTATAAGATTGAGACAATGATGATAGACACCGTGAGAAATCGTGTTAGCCCGTTGCTTGGCCGCATCTGTATTAATAATTTGCTTATCGTCCTTAATTCTTCTTTGAGATCGATTGGAAAAAAAATTACTTTGTTTGAAACGATGTAATATTATTTGATCACCATCTAAACAAGAGATCATGTTTTTCAATTGATAATGTTGATCACAAAACATAACCGCGGATAAACAAAAAAGATTCGAGATCGATCGTTCATCAACCGCGTGAACATCATACCGGCGCCGCTAGTATCCGAACAATTATTCCATCGGCACCAAGTAGAACAATAGTTTTTTTCACCTTACAAAATTTTTTAATTACTCATAATTTGTCATTCTATTAAGCTGGAGACGAGATATGAAATACAGGAAATAATATATGTAATATTATAAAATACGGAAATATACGGAAAAACTTCTTATATTGAAAATAATAATTCATGCTGTTAGTCATGTAAAAACTACGTCAATCTCGTACAAGGTATTATAATAATACATTATGTGCAATAAATTCTCTCATGTAACAATGATACCACGAAATTGAGATTCATTTTTTTATATCTTTGTATATATCATTGTTTATGTTTATGTCATTGTTTTCATCATATAATTTTTTATCTCGCAAAAACATGATAAAATACTTGAGTGACTGCAATATTCTAAGGGAAAACAGATGCATTGGCTATTTTCTTGTCCTATTCATTGCCGGAGGCCTAATTTAGTCCTCTTTCCCTTCCCACCCTTTTTCTTATAAGGAAAGGATGGGAGGTGGAAGTGGACTTTTCGGATGAGAGGATGCATGGAAAGGGAAGATATTTTCTTTCTGTGCATCCTCTCCTCCGTCGATTTAAGGTAGGCGACGCATATGCAATTGCGTATGTCTATGGGCAACGGTCACTTCGCTATTTCAGCGATTTCAGGTGACCGCTCGCTCGTTTGCCACCTTATGATATAAAAAAAATCCCCAACACGGCCAAACATTTTCTGTTAATCGTTTTCGTATTGGTCAAAGATGACAAGGTGACTTAAATTATGTACTAAACTTAACAAATGAAATTCAGAACAACTACATCACGCACGTTTAAACTATAGTTATAGTATTTACGAATACAGCCGTTGTATTCGACCACGGAGATTCTCCTAAATTTCAATCTGCCAACTCATGTCTGCTTTGAAATTGTTAATATCTTATTTCTATTAATTCAAATTATAACAAATAATTACCTTTACTCTTTGATTTCTTTGTGGCATAAAAATCATATAAAGTTCCACATGCGTTTAAAATGAATATAAACGCACATAATACTGTCATAAGTATATCCATATTATCAAATTCTATTCTATAATCCGCCGAACGACAACTGGGAGCATTTAATAACTTAGCTTCAAGTCTGTAGTCTTTCCATACAGATTGATTAACGCATGCTTCAAGGATGTTTGTTGTATTTGAAAATAATTTTTCATTAAAATATTCACCACAAGATCTTCTTACACATACTCCTCGGTACAATTTTGTATGATCGTAATGTGTTATTTCCCATTCTGAGTAATTCTGTTGAAAATACAAAGGGTGCGAATAAGTGTACCAATATTATTAATTAAATTTATCAATATATTAAAAAAGATTACATTTATTAAATTTTACTTCTTACTTATATTATGAATGCGAATGTTTGGATGAATGGATGGATGGATGAATGTTTATTTGAAGGCATCACCAGAACGGCTGAGTGGATCTCCCTGAAATTTGGCATAGATGTAGATCATATTCTGGAAGAATACATAGGCGACTAATTGAGTTTTTTTTTAATTCCGCACAGACGGAATCGCGAGCGACAGCTAGTCTTTTATGGTATCAGCGCTCGTTTAGCCATTTTAGGGAAAGAAGTACTTTACGTGCCGGGGAAACGATAAATGGCGAGAAGTCGATGTATTTGATAATATACTTACTGCTATAATTCCATAAAGTTCAGTCGAAGTATCTGATAGTAATCTGAATTGTGATGTACAGTATACTGCGTTGGCATCGTTAAAACAATTTTCATAGTCGTCTAGTTGGATCAAAGGTGGCATGCGTTCATACTCAGCATCTATAAAAAATATCCGAAATAAAACTGTAAAATGGTAGGCGCACCCCTTTGACACTTCCGGGAATAAAATTAAATGATTTACACTTTGAAAGCAGTCCAGTTATAGGTACTATTGGTCACATCGTCTCTAGATTAGAATTCGTACTTCCGACTTTACTCGCATAAGAAGAAACGAAGAAGGTAAAAAAAACGTACCATCAAGTCTGTATATAACTCCAAAACATCGACTTGCAAGAAACACTAATATTATAAAACATTTTTCCATTTTTAACGTATTAATTTTATTGTCTGAAAAATTCGCGTGTCATATCTACCTGTGCTAATACACAACAAAATCTGAAATTCAACTTACCACAGAAGCATGCATGTGAAAAACGCAGTGTCTTTAAAATTTTCTTATAACTTATGTCACCGGTAAAGCAAGTATTTCGCTTGTTTGTAATTTAACTAGAATATCGTAAAGAATCGGTAAATCGCATACCTAACGATATCATTCACATTTGATGAGTTATAGTTCGTCAGTTATAAAATTCCCGGGAACAATCAATAGCACAACGTATCAAGATTTCCGTACTCTAGGTTTCATGTCATGATTTTTTCTTTAAGCTTTTTGGTGGACATACCTATCCTTGTTTGAATAGACATAACGTTACTATGTTATTGAATTCATTCGATGCAACTTGTCCAGCCTTTACGATTTGCCATTACGCAAATTACGTTACTATTATTACGTTACGTTGTACACAATTTGGCGGTGACAACGCAAAAATGCGGAACCATTCGGATTTTTGAACATTCATACTATAATCACTATCAATTAACTTTTTATACACATTATTAATTTGTCATATGCTTACATACTGTTGGTTTGAGAACAAGAGCTCAGTATAAAACAGAGATTTTGGAATGGTACCATCTGTCTATTAAAAGTGCACGCATCTACCTTTTAACTTATTGCAGATGTTACGGGGCACTAGCCGCTTAGCTATTTAAACGATATCAAAAATAAAAATCAAACAAAATCTATTTTAGTACTCTATTTTTAATGATGAGTAGATCATTGTCTTAATATTGAACACAACGTTAGACATAGGTTTTTAGGTACTATTTTAGTTTAGCAGATTGCTTGTTTGTTGTAGGAGTTTCCATACAAATCTTGACTATATTGCTAAAGGGACCGTCGATCAACAACCACACAATGACTCCGACAGCGAATGTAACAATAGTTATCCCTCCAGCCTGCACCTATAAAATAAAAGTTTCTTTATTATTCCAACGAATATAGTTCGGCAGTGTTTAGTAAACACTCGTTTTCACAATTTGACAGCCATTGAATTTGGATTTTAGCTTGGTTATCAAAGAGTATGTTTTACCCTTAAATATGTGTGGCCAATTTCTGCTGGTTATTTATTTGTCAAGTTCACATTTGGGAAGACATCATCGGCATCATAATTTCTGTGATTTATCGGGGTGCGAACACACATCAAAAGAAGCATCAGTAAGTTTATACTTACTAAAATGTATTTTGAAAAGACGTTGAGAGTTTTTGTGTTGTTGACTATGAGTCCCATTACGGTGAACTGCGTTATATATGTCGTATAAGCGACGTGAGCCACCCAAATCCAACCGTCCCACTCCAATATAGCACGATAGAAATCTGAAATTGACAAACATAGTTTTTTATTCGATATTATTTTCTAGATACGATTTGCCGCCCTTTTTTGTAAGTCGTGGCAAAACCTAGATGCCATAAAAGATCAGGTCGCTTAGATGCAATTATATTAAACTATAGTAGTAACTATAGGAGACAGTGTCACCACTTACGACAGCATCCGCCGATCAAAATCTGTTCTTCTGATTAATCTTATAATATAGCAGGTTACGTTATAAATCGCCTTTACAGTTCTGGTTTAGTCAGGTATAGATTTACTTACTCTCTATTTTAAACACAAAGCCAACAATGGCTGCTGCGCACATTGCTGCAAACAAAGGTCTTAGCAGCATTTGATGAAAAACTCGTATGTAAGATGGTAAAGGAGGTCCATCCTGGTAGTGAATAATATTTAGGACTAATATAACGTAGGTAGTAGGTAAGAGCATCCAGTATAAAATCCTGAATTTCTGTAAATAAGAACAAGTTGTTTATATATAACAATGAAATCAATATAAGATATATTTCTACAATGTCATCAATTAAATGTAGTCTTACTTCTCACTTATATTATAAACGCGAATGCTTGGATATACGGATGGATGTTAGTTAGAAGGTATAAGGTATCTCCAAAACGGCTAAAGGATTCGCGCTGAAATTTTACATAGATGTAGAACATAGTCTGGAAAAACACATAGCCTTCTAATAAGGTTTTTTTACATTTGATAATAAGTAATTGAATATGAATAAATCGAACAGACTGTGCACTGAACATGCCTTGAACTTGACATCACCAGTTTATAAGCGGTTGAAATCAAAATTAAGTCTAATAGTGACAAAAAATGCGATTACAAACTTGCCTTGTACTTCTGTATATCAAATTGACTTTTCTGTAAACGATAGATAAGTACGCCAGTGATCAGTCCTATCACATATGCTGGAGCGTTGGTGTGAGTAGGTTTGTACAGGTAGTCGAAATTAGGATCCTTCGTGAATGTCTGTAGCAACGAACTGCAAACAATACAACAGTTATGTTAAAGTAAATGTGTAAGACTTTTTCTTTAATTATTTTTTAATAAAAAATATAATTATAATTACTTCGGTTTGACGGTCATCAAAGTTCTCAAGTCATATATATACGTCACTATTCCTGATGATATAATTCCAATCAAGAATGCTGATGCCAATATGGCTCTTTTCCAGAATTTATTTCGCACCAAAGCGAAAACTATGAGCCCGAAGCAGAACATATGCATATCCGCTGCTAAATGCCTGTAATTAAATAATACACTTGTCACCAACTGGTCAGAGTTAACTTCGTCAATTTACAATGAAACTGTGCATACTGTCTTGTTAAATTACACAAAAAAAAATCAGTTTTATTTTTTGGCGCGGCAGAGATCGTAAAAATTACATAATTGTGGGTTTGATTGTTTACGTAAGAACCCATAAAATCTCCCTATTCCTCACATTGTTGTTTCCTATGGAATAGTAAGTATAATATACTATAAGGAAGTAGTCCTTATTATTTGATAGTAGTGTCAGTTTTCTTTGGTAAATACTTCCACTTTGTTCTATCTTCGATTGAAAATTATCTGTCAACCCTAGGAATATAGTTAATAAAATTACCATGTATGAGGCATGCAATAAGACCCGCTGTTATAGTTTGCTAAAAAGAAGAAATTCCACATCCAGTATCGTCTACAGTCTTCATTTACACGAGTCCCAAGCAGCTGAAAGTTCAAATAAACGAAATTGCCAATTTTAGTTTTTACCAATTAGGTTTTACTACGTTAACGTACAGAGAAGAAATGTCGCATGAAGGTTGATAATTGTTTATTTTTCTATCAACAACTGCTTCTACTCTAAAAGTATATCAGAAAGTGCAGGTTGCGAAGGAAATATTTTTTTACGGCTACTAAAAATAATTGCTATTACCTGCCATAAGGGGCCAGCGCCGAAATGTCGCATCAACGTTGACTCGAGTGCGAGGCATATGGCGAACGAAGGTATTAATCTAGAAAAAGAAAACAACCGTATTTAGTAGAGATATCCGTAAAGATAATCATTTATCATTAATTGCACCTAACTTATACAGCTAGAATAGGCTCAAGCTATTGTTTTGTGAGGTTACAAGTGAACTTATTATTATTACAAAACTGAATCAAAAAGGTTTTTATGTTGCTGTTATATCAATTTAACCTTTTTGCTTAAAAACTTTTTACTATAAGTATTTTTATTAAACTCATCTTTACCTTAGCCATCTTTTAAATAGATTATTCGTAACATTTTTCCAAGTCATTGTATTCCTCTCTGTCGTTCTCTTTATGTTATAACTTAAAAGAATGCCTGACATGACAAAGTATGCTTGTACTATAAGGGAACCGTTCAATAAAATGTGACATGAAATATTTGAATACATCTGAAAATTAAAATAAAATAATCAATTTAACAACTTACAAAAATCATTGATGTTTTGGGCAAGAATTCGAATAGTAAAACACGGGCTAAATAGGAGTCCACATTGGTTGATTTGAATTTCTTCGAGTTGTCGATAAGTGCTAAATTGTCGTTATTATGTTAATACTAAGATATTTGTTTGTAAGTGGGAAGAGAATTATTTGCCTGTTAAATTTTACTAACCTTTTCAAAGTCATGCGGATTGGCAATGACTATCACTAACGGCAAAATTGAATGTCCAAACACGAAGTGAATCATGATAATAGCTCTGAAATTGACGGTTTCCAAGTTATTGAAGGTTTTTAACAGTGGTATAGCCCGCTATTAATTCTTTACACGCATGGGAGACTTTACACTGGTTGATACAACGACCACACAGAAGACAGGGATTAAGTGGAAGCAATTGTGCGTTTCATCCGAGGGATGAGCGTCCCGGAGGCCTAATTTTAGTCCTCTTCCCCTTTCTACCCTTTTCTTATAAGAATGCAAATTCAATTGGCCGCTTGCTAGTTGCCACCTTCTACATTAAAAAAAAACTTAATTGTGTATTTTGTTGCAATAACGAGACAAGTGTCCTCATTGCTGACGAAAACGTTATTAAGTAGTCACTACTAAAAATATGTTGAAAATTCAATAAGAAATGCGTATTTGTATATTTTTATCGGAAAATTTACAAAAACATCCATTAATTTAATAAAGAAATATGTAAACTTTTACCTGATACCATCCATTCCTTTCAGTCGTTCAACTGGCTGCTTTATTCTATAATCGGCATGTTGCAGTCTGGACCAGGAACGAATTATTGAAAAGGATAATAAGATATCCATACCTTAAACATTATTGAAATAAGCTTAGCATTTTTGAAATATCTAACACGTAGTCATGCGTTTTGATATGTGTTTTTGCGAAACGTATTAGATGTTATAATTATTTTGTTTAAATATTAGCAGATTTTTTTTTTGTAAATTTACTAATATTTAATTTACCATTCCAACTAAGCTCTAGGCTCTTGTGCTAGGATATGGTTTAGAACACTAGCCGAATGGCGGAATTGGAACCCCCGACCACGTGATCGGAAATCCGTACCCTTAACCATTAGGCTATTGCCGCTTTTTGCGTTTCTTGCCTTCTAATATGTAAGAATTTTTTAAATACTATATTTATTTTGTAATTTATTGGGACAAACTAGTTCACATGAAGTTCACATTGAATCTCTGTCAGCTTAACTTTTTTTAAAGAACTTGGAAAATTTTAATAAAATTGTTTGGGCAGTGTAATTACATGAAAAAAAAATATAAAAAAAATTGTTACTCTGAACGTGTAATAATCTAATTTTTTTCTTAGATTAATTGAATACTGCCGGTATTTAATTTACGCAAATTTCTACAAAACCATACTTAAAAAATGTTAATCCGTTTCCTGTTTGTTCGTTTTTATTCAGATCAAATGTACAGCGATTTTAATTTTTATACTCCTTCTGTATATATACTACTGACTAAATTGTAGCAGTTATTTTCCACCTAACAAATGATTGTGACGTCATGCAAAAATACGTTATAAATTAACAAGAATTACCTTTGGTGTTAGGTTTTTTGTACACGTAAATATCGTACAGTGTAGCAACAATATTGACAATTATAATCAAAATACATATAGATCCAACAATGATGTCCCAGAAATCCAACTTTATATCTCTTTCAGCAGAATAACAATAAGGTGATGTTAGCAATTTGGCTTTGAGTTTGTATTGTTTCCACAGATGTTCATTCATACACGTCTCAAGGGAGTTGTTTAAGTTCATCGTTACTTCTTGCTTGTTCATATTACATGTTCTCGTCACACAAACTCCTCGATATAATTTACTATGATCGAAATGTTTCAAATCCCACGCCGAATAGTTCTGTTTGGAATAAAAATAAATTTTAATTTTCTTAGGATTTCTATTTTTTGATTTGAAGTATTTTTACAACAGCAGAGTTACATCCAAGTTTTTGGAGACTTGATATTTTACAGGTTTACAAGTCAATCTGAAAGCAGAAGGCTCTTAGCCGAGATTTATTTCACACACCTATCAGGTTCTTACTCTTATATTATTTCCCATCCCCTCTTTAAATTACAGCACTAAGCTGTAATTTTTGTGTCATTATAACATCAGATAACAAAGAAGCAGCTTAACAGCTTGTTTGCTTGTCCCTTTCTATAGCGTGCTAACAATTCAACACAAATGAGAATCTTACTGTTATTAAATCCATTACAACATTAGGTGTATCCGAAACAAGTTTCAATTGCATTGTACAGTATAATGCATCAGAATCTTGCAAACAACTATCATAATCGTCGATATAGTTCAGTGGTGGCATGAGTTTGTACTCAGTATCTGAAAAAAATACAATAGATTTAGTAGTTTTTACAGTATATTTGGTACGCGATATTCATATATATTACTTTTTTTTTATATCAAAAGATGGCAAACGAGCAATCGGCCACCCGAAATCGCTGAAATAGCGAAGTGACCGTTGTCCATAGACATACGCAATCGCACATGCGTTGCCTACCTTTAATCGATCGAGGAGAGGATGCACAGAAAGAAAATATTTTCCCTTCCCATGCATCCTCTCATCCGGAAAGTCCACTTCCACTTCCCATCCTTTCCTTCTAAGAAAAAGGGTGGGAAGGGAAAGAGGACTAAATTAGGCCTCCGGGACGCACACTCATCAGACGAAACGCGGAATTGCTTCCACTTCACGCCTGTCTTCTATGTAGTCGTGGTATTTCACCGGGCGAGCCGGGCCGATTCGTGCGAATATGTTAAAGCGGGCTCTACCACTGTTACTTACTAATGTTATAGATGCGAAAGTTTAGATAGATGGATGAATGTTTATTAGAAGGTATCTCCAAGATCACAGCATGTACCTCGGTGAAATTTGGCATGGATGTAGAACAGATCCTTATCCTTTTTTAATTTCGCGCGGATGGAGTTGCGAGCGACAGCTAGTACTTTATAAAATAGCGACTCTTAAAATTAGGATATGGCATCCCTTTTCAAAAGTTATTCGTCTTCTATACGTACATACATGTTATTAAAATTGAAATAAGTATCTTATGTTATGTCGAAAGAAAAAATCATGTTTCGTACACATCACGTATTGGCGTTGTTGATAACGTAAACGCAATTTCCAAGGCAAGGCCGCCTTTGTTCCTTTATATTCATGCTTGCTTTTGCCTACAACTTCGTCTGCGTAGTATTATAAAACACGATTAAATGGATCTCATGTATTCTTCGAGACTATGTTCTATATCTTTGCCGAATTTCAATACAATGTGTTTAGCGGTTCCTGAGTTATCGAGTGATTATGTCAATCAAACGGGATACCTACTGGAACTGTACGCATTTCCAGAATCATAGGCTACCCATATTCAGTTTTTCCAGACACATCTTTACTAAATTTCATCGAGATTCATGCAGCTATACCCCTTCAACAAACATCCACCCATATAAACCTTCGCATTTATAATATTAGTAAGATAATTAATAATTTTGCACAAACATTTTTTATACCTTAATGAACTTAAGTAAAAAAAATTAAATCGTTCCACGTGGAAAAGCTTGGCGGATATGGTAAGTATAGCCGTAAGCAAATAATTAATAAATTATTAGCATAATTTTTTATCAATATGAAATCTATGAATATAAAGTAGCTTCTGCCCGCGACTTCGTTCGCATTGAATTTAAAGAAATACCAGTATAAAAGCAGCCTATGTTGTGATAACAAATTTAACCCAGTGATAATGTAACTTTCTTATGGCAAAAGAATTTTTGACTTAGATCCAGTAAGTAGTTTTTGAGGTAAATCGTTACAAGAATACAAATTTACCTCTTTGTAATATCAATATTCTTATATTTTATTTCGTGAATATAAGTATCTTTTTTTTTGAGGTACATTGTATTCTTCTTATTTACATAAGATTCACATTTACGCAAAAAATGTAAATAGTTAATGGTGAGTTTTACACGCAAATTTATTCGTTAGTTTTGCTAGCGTATATACAATCTCAATTCTTACTTTTTACTACTATCTAAAATGCGAATGTTAAAATGGATGGATGTTTGTTATAAGGTATCTCCAGAACAGCTGAACGGATCTCGCTAAAATTTGTTTGTAGAACATAGTCTGGAGAACTCATAGGCTACTAATTAAGTTTATTTTTTAATTCCGCGCGAACGGAGTCGTGGATGACAGTAAGTTTTTCTATAAGCATAAGAAATTTCGGTCGGTTATAACAAAAAAAAGTTGAAAAAGAACGGAGAAAGTTTCAAAAAATGATACAAGACCTCTTGTAGTAGAATAAATAACATGAAGCCAATCGATTCTTCAGTACTGAGCCCACATATTTTTGAATCCATTTTTATCTTATTTTTTTAAGTTATAAACTTTCTCAAAGAACAACTACCGAATCTAAGAAGAACTAAATATTTGCTTATTACAAAATTATAACAAGCAAGGGGCCCCCCCTTCCAGGCAATCTATAACTGTGCAAAATCTTATAACATGCACAGTTATCGAATCACATTTCTAAGATGTTGAGTTCTTCTATATTGTGTTCTATATTTATACAAAATTTTATCGAGCATCCTTTCGTTCAGGAGATACGTATAACACACATCTATTAATTCATCCATCTAAACTTTCGCATTTATAATATTAGTAAGAAGTAAGATTTAGTAGTATTGCATAGTTGGTCACTGATGTCTGACACCATTTGTTAATTTTTTAATACTAATTCTAGGATGTAAGTCAAATTTGGCCATCGATCTAAACTTTAAAATCCCAAAAGCCTAGTTATCGTTTCAAAGTATAATGGTTTTCTTATATCAATATAGAGAACTTGCAATTAGCCTTATAAAATTACTGAGTTAAATCAATTTACTGACCGTCAAGTCTGTATATAATACCATAACTTTGATGAATAAATAAAATTAATAACACAAAACATATTTCCATAATTTCACTCTATCACTTGAATTTATCTTCACAAAGATTACTTCTACTTATATAATACGAATTTAATATTAAGGAATGAAGATCACAATGCTTTTCGACTAATTAAAATGTTTAGTGATTTAAAACAACAAAGGTCGGTTGTAGTGTACGTTCATTATATACGTTTGGACGCAAGTTTTTTTGGTAAATGATTAACTATTCTGCGAGTAAAATGTAAGAAGCAGTTAATTTATGTAATTTGTAATCTAACGTAGCATACGAGCAATAGCCAATTAGATTCGCCAAAATAGCGAAAGAACTGTTGATAGACATGCCACGTTTAGATGCATTGGTGGCATATTTATCGACGGACTTATACGGACGGATTTATAATTAAAGATATTAAGCTGGAAATTAATGACGACATATTACTTAAATCGTTCTTTTTCTCGACACAAAACATTTGACGGTGGGAACGTCTTTTAATTTTTAGATTATTTTTATTGTAGAATAGTTTGCTACTGTATCACTTGTATCAACACATACTGTGATATCACACATTGTCTCACTTACTCGTAAATTTGCTTTATATTCTCATTGTTTGCAAAATGCTTTTAAATCAATCTAACATTTATCTTACGAAAGGCGCCCCGAGGTAAATAATTGTTAAAATATACTGGTGTGGTATCAATATCCCAAGGCTTTAACATATTCAAAATGCAATGCAGTTTTGCAAAAAATGAGGTCATAAATATCTCCCTCGTGAGATTTTTTCAATTTGATATTACCTACAATAAAATAGCTTGCGCATTATTTGCTTTGTCATACCTAACCCAAATTTTATACTAAATCATTATACAAGTACGAGGCACATTAAAAGGCGTTTGAATAAGACAAGCTGTTCAAAAATATGTCGTTTATTCCAAAATATTTTTCAATATTTACCCCTCCCGTTAATCCAGTATAAAACAGCTAATTAAAAAATTATAATACATAAAAAAATAAATTAAGCATATGCTAGAAAATTAAAAGACATTATTAATAGTCAATATCAAAACATACTATTCAATAACTAAGTAGATCTAATCATACAACAAATACGTCTCACATGTGTTTGTCTTGTTGAATTCATTCAATAGTTTTCTATCGAGCGAGTCATTTATAATAGTTGGTACTCTAATATCGTAAGGGGCCGAGGCGTGGTCCCCGTCGATATCATAAACTTTGACGGGTCTCTCCGAGTACTTTCCCAAATTATAATCGTCAGGTAGATTTACGAATTCGGCAGAAGCAGTTGACTTTATAAGAATCAGTTCAGAATTTAATTTAAGATTCGGTTGATATTCCCTCGCCAATACAAATCTATTGTATGTCGTTTCTAACAAAGATCTCATATAATCATGTGAATACGGAACTAGTTTTTTAACACGTCGAATGAAGATGTCAATCTTCTTGTCCCAGCTGTCAATAGTCTCCAATTCCTTCATAAACTCTTCACTATTTAATCCAGTCGTCAGATGAAACATACGAGCGGCGACTACATTTTGCAGATTGGCATTCGATAAATCACCGGCATAAGTCTTCATCAGATGCTTCAAGGCATCAGGGCTGCTGTCTAAGCAGTAGACGATACCGCGCTCACCTGCATCATTCAATATTTAATAAAATAGTACCACAAACTTTTATCAAAAAATCTTAGCAGGAAATAATAATGTAACACAATACCTTGTTGCTCTATTAAAGCTGCCAATTCCAGGGCCACGTTCACACCAAAAGAATATCCCAACAAATAAAACTTCTTATTAAAGTGGAGTTTCCTTGACAGTATCTGAAAAATACACATTTAATATTTTATTCCCTTATTAAAAAGTTTTAAGTACAAACAAATAGAAATAAAATAGAAATGTTTATGTTGATAACATTTAATGTTATAGCAATGATAACCTTGTATATATTCAACGCCATTTCTTGAATACTGGAACTGTTTAAATCTGTGTCCAATTTCATAGTGGCGGCTCTTATCTTCAACGGCTCGCAGAGATCCTCGAATATTCTGTGATGACCTTCGAAGCCAGGTATAAGTATCAGATGCGTCACACTTGGATCTATTTCAAATTTGTCCTGTTATCAAAAATATTAACATTAAATCATGTGCTCGTATATTTTTCTTCTCTCTTCTCGTATAACCTTATAAGGTCCCTTATAATAGTCGTATAGACTATTTGCCAATTTTGATACCATACCTGAAAATATTGATAGGCTTTGGTGGACATCCTAACTAGAGGATGACTCGTGATTTCATAGACATCAGACTCAATATAAGAATAAAATACACGGAATCCATTGCTTTGTTCCGACATAGAATCTCCATTGCCGTAAGTGAAACTGAAATATAAAGCGCCATTGTTACTTTTAAATCAGAAACATTATAAGAAATTAGCGAATAATGTACATGTTTTGAAGATGAAGTTAGTCATTCTCAGTTCGAGCTTAGAGTAAAAATATATCAAACGCTCAGAGATATTTTTTTATGTCAAGGAGTAACTTTAGCTTTTTCAGTTCCAATCTCCAATTCACAAACACCACACGAGTAATATCATACCTGAACTCAGAAATATCCTTCCCTTTTTCTCTTCTTTCATTTTCGTTAACTGTTTTAAATGCAACGACCGTGGTGTTGGGATCTGTAAAAAGTATTAAAAAATGTATTTATTATAGATTAATATTATTACAATTGTCTCATGTTAAACACACATGCATTGTATTGTATTGTACATCTCATAAAAGTAAAATGGTTGATACAAGTACTTAAGTTATTAATAATAGTAACAGAGTTATGGAATAGAAAATAAAGTTTAACGATTATTGAAAGGGGAATTAGTGGAGTTATTGTCTTAAGGCTTTTCTGATAAAATTGATGAAATTTTAATAAAACCATATTTAAAGAAGTATTTGCTTTTACCAATGTCATTTCGTCCAGTTGCCAGAGAACATGAATCACTGCAAGGCTCTAGTACAGCCTTAATGTAATGGTAATTAATATACAAACTTCTTTCCAATATATTGAGCACCTCAGGTATTGTTTCAGCTAAAATATCGTTGTTCGAGTCAAAGTATTTAGACAACTGTAAATGAAGAGATAATTTGTGTATAAGCAAGAGTAATTCAATGCACGAGTATGCACCATAAATTGGTAAAACGATTTATCTACCTCATTTGACATTTCAGTTACAAAAGTCAATCCCGGAAGACCAACAGCTTGACGCTCCTTACATATTTTTTCAGCTTGAAAATAGATTTTTTCGTCATAAACATCCCGGGATGAATTACCCAGTATAACGAAGTATCTAGAACAATTTTTATTTTTTATTTTTACAAACAAATTACTTTAACCCGAATAGAATAATTTTATGGCATACCTTAAATTCTTGCAAAGAGATCGTGTAGCAAAGTCCAAGCTTGCAATAGTTGACAGGAGAATTTTGTTTCTTGCCAAAAGTATTTGCTCTTCTGATAAATCATCAGAATGCTTTTCATTTTTGCCAACAACAAAGAATACGCCATCGAGTGAACCGCCAGCTTCCTTTACAGCCTTAGTACATTCTTGATCATTTATTACATTTTTAAAAACTATATTTACTGATGAATGAGATTTTTTGAAATATCTGTAAGGAGTTGATACATTTACTAGCTTTTTCCCAAGACTTCGTCCGCGGAAAGTTTAAAGTTCGAAACAAATTATGCATAGATGGATAAACTCACCTTATTTTGTACAATAAGGAAGCAGTTGCAGATCCATTCCAAAGAATTGTAATGTTTCTGGCACCGCGACAAATTAAAAGTTCTATTAATTCCAAACTAAGAACATCTTCTGCGCAAACAATTAGATATGTTGCTGTCGAAGAGCAAGTGATTCTGAAATCATCAAATCATTTTGTTTCTCATAAAATTTTAGATCCCAATGAATGAAATAAATGTTCCTCTGTACATATGCTTACCGAGGAATTATGTTGTTTTTAGGAAGCGTGTCCATTTTTATTAAAACTCTTCCTATGTTATTCTTTGATGAGAGCATGTTAAGTGCCCTTGGCACTTCTTCAATGTTATACGATATTAAAGGCAACGGCTTCACAATGCCGTTGGCAATTCCTTCGGCGAGCATAAATTTAATTGCCTACAATAATATAAAATAAAAAATAATATGTAATTCCGTTGCTATATTTTTTGTGTGTCAAGGAGGATTTTAAATGTGAATATGGAAGAAAATTTAAATAGATAAAAGTAATATACTGTGTAATCAGATGGTTTATACATGAATGGTAACTCTATCTAGGGAAGGCACATTTGTATCGATTTAAAATTATAGTGCTCACCTTCTTAAATGAAGTTGTAAAAAGGCAACAACATATCATATAACGGATAATAATAACAGATCTATAAGGGTGTGAATTCAGATATGACGACTGAAGGAGATGTCTGGAGGAGTAGCACATACTGGGCCGACTCTCCATACGGTTAAGGACAGTTAGTCTTTACCCTTCCCAACGGCGCATTATTCTCGTCAACTAAGTCCATGCACAACGCTTACATTACATCGTCTGATCACTTTCATTAGTCGTTTTACAGCATACGGGAATTGCTCGCATGCTGTATGCGACAATTAAAACTCCAAGTTATCGACTATCAATTTGCGCTCTTACATTTCCATATTGACATAGACGATAATACCTTTTTCTCCACGTTATTTTTTCTTTTAAATATACTGGATACATCGACAAATTTATAATTTCTGCTATGCCACATATAGCTCATCCCAAAAGATTTGTTTAATTCCACGTCGTGCTGATTGACATCCAAGAACGTTCCCGAAAAACCAACGCATTTCATTGCTACCTGCAGTTACACAAATTTTACAAAATTAATGTGAAAGTGAGTTTGCATTGAGCTATTATTTCTTTCGTATTTTATTGTCCTTAAAATATACACACATTTTATTTGAAATATAACATCAACAGGCTTCTATAGCTGAAATATCAACTAAGAGATGATTAAAAACAAGAACTTGCCTCACGTAATCTGCCCGATGCGCAGCTTACAACTACTTTGCAAAGCTGATTGTCAGTTTG